AGAAAATGCGCCTTGAGGCATGGAACATATGTACCAAATATGCCAAAGATGTCTACAAAATTATCTCAGTTATTATTAAAAAACTGATTATTTTTGAAAACTTTGCCACCCTGTATCTCAAAAGTTAAGGCGTTTAGGACATACGTCCATAGGACGTTTTTTTCCTTAAAATGGGTGTAAGAATTACCTCCTTAAATATTAGCATGTGTTTAAGGAACACCCTGTATAGGACATACAGAAATTTCACTGCTACCAATGTTAGTAGAGGTGGCGGTGTGCTAATTGCTGTACACGAAGATATTGTCTCATCACCAGTTAATTTGTCAAATTATCATTTTCCAGTGTCTGGGTTTATTAACACAGTACTTGTGAAATTATCTTTCTCCGAAAACAGTCTCTTTCTGATATGCGTTTATATCCCCACTAAAACAACGATAAATGAAATTGAAACATTCTGGGAAGCTGTAGAATCGCTTGACCCATTGTATCACAATTCTGACAGCTCTGGCTGAACCACTAACAACTCTAATTAATATATGCCTGAAAACATCAACTGTACCATCAATATAGAAAATGTCGAAAGTCTGCCCAATTTTTAAAAAAGGAGATGAAAGTATTTGAGATGCTTCTCGAGAAGACAATCTACTGTTCATGTCAGCAACATTATTAGCCCCAATCAACATGGTTTCATGAAAGGACGTTCAACCACCACGAATCTTGTAACAATCACTCAGTGTATTGCAGAGGTTATTGAATGTCAGTCTCAGACTGATGTCATCTACACTACTTTTTCTAAAGCATTCGACAGACTTGACCATAGTATCCTGCTCAACAAGCTTTCGACTTTTGGGTTATCCAATGACTTAATTACCTTCTTTAAATCGTATTTTTACAACCGTAAGCAGTACGTCCAACTCAATGGCCTCAAGTCTATCGAATATATAGCCACATCTGGTGTACCACAAGGATCAAATATAGGACCCCTACTATTCAATATGTTCAAAAATGATATCGGAGCTGAGATTGATGAATTTACACAACTACGTCATAAACACTCAAGTTCTGGAGCGTCCTGACACACTCACTGATCTAGGTGTTACTTTTGATTCATCCCTCTCTTTCAATAAATATATTGACACTATTCTAACAGCAGCTTATCGCATGTATGGATTCTTAGTTAGAAATACAAAAGACTTCGAAAAAGCTTCAACATTGAAATTACTTTATTTCACTTTTGCTCGATCTAGGCTGGAATATGCATCTGTCGGGTGGAGTCCCTACTATAAGGTTCATATAAATCAACTAGAAGCCCTACAGAGGCGTTTCCTAAAATATATGTCTTTTGAACTTGAAGGCACGTATCCTACTGTAGGAATACCCTATTATGAATTATTTGTAACTCACAATTTTTGTAGTCTCGAGGTAAGGCGTAAATATTATTCATTTCTTTTTTATTCAAGATCATAAACAAATATCATCTGCTCTCAACTGTTACATATGTTGAATTTTTGGGTTCCTAGACGGTCATCTAGGAATAGTGTCACATTTTATCTCAACGCGTATGAATATAATAAAAAAATCTCCAATTTTTACAACGTGAGATACCTCTAATTCTGTTAGTCATGGCCTAGATATATTCAACTGCCAGATTATGCAAATCAAAAGACATTTCTTAGCTAACTGACAGTTCTGTTTTTATTTATTTTTTTAAATAGATTCACAAATTATATTATGTAAGTACATATTTGTAAATGCCACTGTTACTTCCTATTCTGTAATTGGGTTCATCATGTAGAATAGTGTATGAAATAAATAAATAAATAAATTACCGTGAAAAGGCGATGCTACGACGAGAGAGCCTCAGGTATCTCGAAGGGGTATGCAAATACACCTGAACAGAGATTTAAAAAAAATAATTTAACAAAATACGTTCATTATTCCGGCAGAAAATACCGAAGTTGATGGCCGAACGCATGACACTGTTAAATTAAAGATTTAATTTTGGATCGAAAAATGTGCTGCTTCATTGAGTGTCTCTGCCTAGCTGATTGAAAAACTGTAGTAAGATCGAATTGAATACAAGATATTTCAATAACTTCTTGGGCAATACAAGGGCTTTTATTTTTTTACTCAAAAATGACGTGTCGTAGGAAAAAACCTAAGGACTTTTTTATCCCAAATAGAACAAGAAGTTACAAAAATATTTGAGAAAAATCTACTGTTGAAGTTGATTTTTTTTTTTTGAAAAAAAAATAAGCTTTTATTAACTGTCACTATCTACCAAATATCAGTAACATATTCCAAATGATTTCGGATATATTAAATTATTTTCATTTCTTTTAATTATTATTATTATTTTTCCATGAAGAGTTGCATTCCTGTATATTCGCGTATTATAAGAGAAAAACCTTATAAATTAACTACAATTGATTATTTATTTGAAGAATACATGCCTCTAAATAGAACTTTAAAACCATTTTAAAAAAAGGACAAAAAAGGAAAATGGGTTTATCAATTTTCTGTGCAAAAAACTTTATATTATAACATGTATTCACTGGATGTTCTGTACCGCTTCAGTCATCAACACTTTTTTCCTCGTCTGTGCAGCTATCTGCGTATAATCGAAAATTAAGTGAGGTGTCTGACTTTCACTATCCTCTTTTCTGGCACTTGTCAATATTAAAACAGACCAAAAACACGTTACACATACCCTGTTACTGACAGGTTACAGTTGAAAGGATCATATTTGGCGCCTCTCTCAAAAGGGTCTGCGTTCTTTGAATTTATTGTAATGGGATTCCCATTTCACTTGTCTGAATATTTTCCGCAAGGTTTGGTACGATGGGCTAATGGGCAGGACGATTGACGTCTGATGGGCACGTCATGTGACTTCAAAAAACGGCCAAAACCCTCGTAACAGGCAAGAAAAGGTCGTATGTCGTTGACGATTCAATTTTTGTCAAATGTCTTAGAAATGAGAATGGCAACTTAAGACGATATTGATTACACAAGCTGATTTTTGATTCCTGAAATGTTGTAAGTAAACATTTTCTACTGAGATTTGCAACTTTTCAATAATACTAAATTAATTATAAAACTAATGGGACGAATATTGGAAAAAATAACACTTGATAGTGATAGGAATCGCAAGTTAAAAGGTGAGACCTTGTTAATCCTTAGCTCGCACAAATTTCGACTTCTGAGAGTTGTCGTTCGATAGATGGTCAACGGAAAACAGATTTAACAGTCATATTTGGATATTGAACTCTGGGCGCCTTTCTGAATATATTTATTTTTTTATTTCACAACGATGAGTAGTGTGAGAAAAATAAAATACTTTTTTTTAATATGTATTCAATTTTGAACTAAAAAGTAGAATTAAGATATATGATGCAATAGGCGAATTGGCCGATACAGGCGTGTCTTGACACGCCCGAAGAAGCCATTGTCTGGCGAAACACGTGTTGTGTTTTTGTAAAACTGTTCAGTAAAAATCTGATAATAAAGTGTTTTTTGAATAAGTAGAATTAAATAAAGAAAGTTACTGCAACAAATGTTCGAACTGAGTAACATTAATTTATATACAATGTTGAAAACGAGCTTATGTTGCTTTTCTTAAATTTTGTAAAATAGCAGGTGTAATAGTCTATTTACAGCTGTATACAGTTATAAGTATACGGTTAGTAACGAAAATGTGGAACACTCGTATTAATAAAAAATATACTCTTAATTAAACACCCAAAATTGTTTTTACTTTTGAATTAAACTTTTTAATGCATTCTATGAAAAGTACATTTGCGTCATTTGAAATGAGATGTCAAAATACTCTTTAAAAATCTTAAGAAATATCGATTTCGAAAAATCGCGAAAATGTATGGAACATAAAAGAAGAGAACAACATGTGGAAATTAGACCATTTAGTTGAAAAAATTGTAGAACGGAATTTCATCGGATTTATCTTATCACAGTTATCACATAGGTAATTATTTTTGCTTATTCCTGATATTTTCTTAAATAAGCATACCTAGAAAACCAAAACCTGCCTACAGCTTGTCAAATCTAGGAAGTGACTTGTAACATATCACCATGGGGCTATACAACGGAGACCTCAGCGCAGATTATGCAACGAAGGGAAAGAAACAGCTCTACACATCTTATGCGAATGTGAGACACTGAATAACAGGAGGCAGCGTTGTTCTAGGGAGTTTGTTTTTGGTACTGAATTTATCCATCAAAAAGTACTGAATTTGTTGTAAACAGTACTCAGTCGATCAATTTCTTACACCTTAGAAAAAATGTTCTGAATATAGGGCATAGATTTGTGTGTTTAACAGGTTGTGAATTATGAAATATTCAAAGACAAATTGGCCTTTATGTATCAAATATGATTCATCATAGGACCATAGGTAAAATAACAGTTCTGACAATTATCATTGACAATGTTGACTATAATGACAATGGCCATGATTTCTTAGATGATTATGAAACTGACCCACCACGTTTAACGTATATTTGTAATTATCAACAATTGACGATATTCGATAAGGATAAAGTGGTGGCCCGTTTCCATAATTCTTTATTGGCAACCATGATTTCTGAATCAACTCTCAATGTCTTTCCATATTATCACAATATTAGTGTTTATTTTTGTTTTGGCAACTGCCAAAGAACAAAAATAAACACTAAGTAATAACAATTCAGGAGTATTTTATTCAAAATGAAGTCAAATATAGCTTAAATTATTGTAACAGTTATGACAACCATGAATTATGTCATAACTGTCACTGTCATTTCACGCTGTCACAATAATTTTGCCTATATATGACTCCATTTTGAATAAAATACTTTTGATATGTTATTGCGTAGTGTTTATTTAATTCTGAAGAGCATTGTAGCATTTTGTCATATGTCAACTATATGAATAGGTTGCATTAAAATCCATTTAAGTGAGGCCACGTTTGGCTTTATAAACGACATCCGTTACCAACTAGTCGAATAGCCCTAGTTGCTGAGGCATTTTTTGGTTTGTCATATGGGAAAACTGATTTGGTAAAAAATAGCCCTTTTTTACGTGTCTACGGCTTAGGTTATCAACCTAGTGACCTGGGTAGACAATGTTAATATCCTCTTAAGCCATCTGCAAACATCATAACTATTCGCCATTTAACATTGCAGGAATCATCCCCACTTCAACTAGATACATCTTCTCTCTAGAAAAATATCTGGTCGAGGTGCGGATCAACGAACGATCTTCCATTCATGATTCGGGGGCACTGGCACTACGCCAATTCGGCGCTAAAAAAATCAATCAATGAGACAGGTTTCTTTCTATTTTTGTATCAATATAGTAAGACTAATAAACCTTCTTCTCATTAATCTTGGTCTGCTAGACCAATAGAATGACAATAGAAAATGTATGAAATAATAAATATGAAACGAAAAATAATTTATTGCATATTGAAGGTTAATTACAGCCCTCTGGAATCACAAATTAAGATGTTCTTCTAATAATAATCTAATTCTGAATTAATGTTTAAAAATAAATTGTGTGTTCCCGATGAACATATTCAATAATGTCATCATGAAATTAAAAGGAAAATTCATCATTTTCTTGAACAGCAGATGCCAAGGTATCATCTTGATAATTGATATTTTTGGAAATCAAACTTATAGAAGGTTGCTTGTGAAAATACCAGATTCTATCGAGAACCTAAGAACAAAATTGAAATAGCCAAGGCCATTCAAATATTATCAAATGAAAACAATCAATGTGGAACGGAAACTATACCTTCTCGTTCTGACTTCAACGAAAGGCATTTAAATATTCCAAGCGTTTCAACAAATTGAATCCATTCAGCATTAGCAATTGCTTAAATATTCATATCAATATTGATATAAATGAGAATTAAAATGTTTCTATAAGTACTTATCTTTTGTTCGAATTTCAATATGGTAAAAATAAATAAGGATTGAAATGTTCTAAATTTGGTCCACAAAGAAGTATAATAAAAAAATATGTTTCATTGATTTGTTTCTTTACACTATTGCCAAAAAACCAGTATTTTCCGAACTAGTTACTATTTCAAATACAGAATTCAATTACATGTCTAGTTCACATTTGTTGCAGAACGAACCTCAAGCGAGTCGAACCTCCGTTAAGCGAGTCTTCGTGCATGAGAAGAAAAAATATTTTCTCATTCTCTCGAATGATTTGAAGAAATTATCGTAGATTTTTCGGAGAATCTTCATTTGCAGTAGTACCGCATTTACAACACCTTCCCCAAAATGAAAAAGCAAAATTAACAATTTTTTTTAATTTGATTGACATACAATTTTCCCAACATCTATATTTATTATTATTCATTATTATATATCAATTAAATCGCTATCTCAGTTCCAGTTGACAAAGACTACAAGCGCAGCAGAGGAACTGAACGGATTTATAAAAAACTCGCCGATATACGTGACTTCTCTGACCGCTACCGAGAATTTCAACAACCCCACGAACAAAACGGGAGGCAGCGTTCTGAGCAGCACGACGTCCGTGGTGGCCGTTAACAGGGACGTCACTCCAACCCCGAAACCTCAACTGCCCAATGGACACAACTCGTTGACACAGAACGCCATCGACGTCAGAAACAAAGAACCAAATAAAGTACCAAACGATACCAGGGCTGCTCAATCGGTAAGAATGGACCTTATTGACTAGTTAAAATTTAATGAAAATGAAGTATCACTTGGTCAAACGAGCTGTGAAAGAATATCAGCATGAGATGTATACTTTAAGAAGTCTTACTCACAGCTTTTGAATAATGACCGACTAACAGCACTGTTTATAATAAAACAGAAACTAAAACAGAAAATTTCATAGCATAGCTTCAAAGAATGATAAAACCAGCAGGTACTCAAGATACTTCAAAAAGAATTATTGTTAGTCCGATTGCAAGCAATGACGCATTTTATTTACCCATAATACTTTATAACCTGCTGGTTTTACGAAGTAGGATTGAATTGTTATTTTGTATATCGATGAAAACACTATACAACTCAGTTCTTTTCCTCCGACAGAAGATTCAGCAGAATTAAAAGAGTTTACTTCCAATAATAAAACAACAATATCAACCAACCATAAAAAAGACCTTGTGAAAAAGACTAAAGTTTAAAAATATTTTTTCAGGGAGACCTCTTAAAAACGAAAGATAGTCCGACGCATGGAAATCGACTGATAGGCGACAGAAGAGGATCCTCACCTTTTCAGAATGGAAGAACTGAGCTGCTGATCGGAGCAGAAGACAATAATAAACTCAAAACGACGGCTATTGTGGAAAGCAATAATAACAGTAAACTTGGAATTGACTCCGAAAACAGGTAGGAGGTAGAAGTATTAATGAATTGTTTATTAGATTTTAGAGTTGACTATGGCAAATGACTACAGAAGAGCTAAACGCAGGTTACATATCCCAATTCCGAAGATTTTATAACAGTTTTAATAATGCAAAAATGTTATCAGAAACACCGTTAGAGACAATAGTAATACTTATTTTGAATTGTATCTCTCCAAGAAGTATTAATCAAATAGAAGCAAACTTTGAGAATGCTATACGATTCTACCACCAGACACAAAATACTGAGTACTTCAGGGTTTGCTAGTAGGTCCCATCAATATTCATCAATGACCTGACTAGCATTACAATATCAAGATTATCAGTCAATATTTTTTCTCAATATCAATGAATCTACAGTTCTTTCCAATTCTTTCAATTCCTTGGCAAATATAGGATAGAAAAAAATAACTTTTGTCTGATTTTTATTAAGATTTTTATTTGTTCAGCTCTAGTTGTTCCACATCACTTGCCAATTCCAATATCATGGTATAAAATAATTGAATAATAAAAACATATCAATTCGAGGAACGTTGACATTCCAGACATCAAAAATGAAACACCATTGAAAAAATATCCATGTCATTAATTTCTTCTCTGGCCTTCTTCTTCTTGGCCTAGTATGCAGACTAGGCCAAGTGGACAAGTCAGCTGTGGCAGAACACGCACTTAGTGAAGGAGACCACAGAATTCTGTTTGAAAACACAGAACTAATTGCCCCCAACCAGGGATACTATAACCGACTGGTACGGGAGGCAATAGAGATCCACAAACACATGGAGAATTTCAACAGGAAAGAAGAAGCGGTGAACCTCAACCGAATATGGAACCCTATTTTAAGGAATTCGAGAATACTGAACAGAATGACAACAAGCAGCAAGATTGTTAATGTTCCAGGTTCAAGTACAGGTACAAGTGCAGGGACAAGTACAGGTACAAATACAACTGATTACCTGACAAGGCATAATACGCTTCACGAAGCCTAAAAGTTAGTTGTCGGATAGCAAGCCATGATGGTTAAACCTCTGAAGAAGCTAGCCACTCACGTCAGCGAAACGTCAGGAAGAAATTCCAAAAATCAACGGCTTTTAAACTCGAAAAATAATGACACTGACGAAGGGTTTACCAATATTGCAACGATATTCTAATATATGTATTGTTTATATTTCTGTCAAATATTGCGACATCTTTTTTCACCAGGTTTAAACACGTAGCTGAGATACTGGCGATTTTACAAGGATATGAAGTCCAATGAAGATTGTGATAAATATATGAAATAATTTCTTCATTAGGTCATTTCCTCTAATCACTATCATTGACGTTCATAATATTGAATTATCATAGCGCTATTTTATTAGTTTTTTACTGGGTTGTACGAGTTCCATATTCTTGTGCGCAGGAAGTCTAAGATTACCCCAATATACGAAGTGTGAAGTCGTTTCCGTTTTCGTGAAAGAATGGTTTTTCTTGATAATGTATTATTAGCTTTGAGCAAAGGACTATTAATTACAAGTATCCATAACGTTTTCTTGCGGGTAATGATTACAATGAGTAAAAAAATCTAATGAAAATTGAGTCGAAGCAAATAGATATAGGTAGTTAATTCAGGAATCGTTTCAATCGCCGGTCAGTAGACAAGACATTGTTAAACATTTCAGAAAATAGGGGATTTAATATTTTGTAAACATCTCTCTGGGGAAATTAATGTTTTTGAGAATTTATGAACTTATAGGTTTCTACAATCTGAAAAATAAATTCATCAAGACCAATTTAGTATCTGCACAACTTTAATAAAAACAAGCTGAAAGGTGCACGATGATAACCGTAATAATAATAAGTGATTTTTGTTCAATCAATTAATTATCGGCAAAGCTCGGCTAAATTTGATCTACTCAACTGAAGAGTTGCTGTTTTACATAAACTCTTTTTGAAAAACTTCATTCATTATTGAATATTGATTATATTTGTAGACATAATTATTCAAGTCATACCAAGAAAATCCTGATCATACAAGGTTGAATCAGAACAAAAAAGAAACTGATTAAATATACGAGTATAGACAAAAACAAAAAAACGTAATGGAAAAAATACATGACAATTGTTGATATTCTCTTTTATGAAACTGAGAATGTGATTTTTCTTGAAGTTGATATATGATTTGACCAAAGAGAGAGTTGGATCAGTATACAAGCCGTTTTTTTAGCTGATCCCACTATTTCTATCTCGGAAAAGGTAAGACCTTCAAGGTCTGTTGAATTGGACAAAAGTTTTCTATTTTTTGAAATTCATATCGAGAATATCACTGGATTTGTTATAATCTGATTAAACTAATTTGCAATTCAACGTTCCGTTCATAAGATTTCATCATTAACTTTATTTTTTTGAAATACGGACCTTTATTACAATACATATTGAATTTGTTTTTAGGTTAAGTTAGGTAAGGTCCAAAGTGAGTGGGTCTATTTGACCCTTCTACCGCAACCCGTAAGGGTTCATTGTGGCTCACACCTATTCACACTCGACCAAATAAACCCAGCTTCTTAACGAAGCCGATTAGTTTGTATGGAGAGTCCCCAACGGAGCAGGCACAGAATATGTACTCTGATGTTTCATTATTTTCCAAACAGAGGCGACACACACTGTCTTCTGACAGTCCGAGTCTCTGCATATGATGATTCAAATGATAGTGACCTGTAAGAAGGCCTGTTAGACATCGTAGTTCATCCCTATTATTGTAGTCCAACATATGTTTGGTATCAAGCTTCGAAAGGTGAATAAACGCCTTGGAGCGAGCTTATCCTTGATGATTCTGCCAGAAGTCCATAAATCTTCTTGCCATCCAGGTGTTCAATCTTTGTTTGGCAAAGCCTAAAGCCAATGACAGGTTCTAGTCCGATGCACCATCAATATTTGCAAGGGACTCAGCATTTGCAAGGGACTTCCAGGCCAGTATGGCCAGGAATCCAGACCAGAGACAATCTGTTAAGTCTTCCTATCGAGAAGAGTCGATTTTGGCAATTTGTTGTTACAGTGGCTACTAAAATTGAGCGAAAAAACTAGAGGCCGTATTTATTAAACATACCTTTAGTATAACCACATTTTAAAATCAATTTTTTTTCCAAATTTTATTTCTTGTCATTAAAGAACTTTCTGTGATGAACATATTTATTTAAAAATATACAATTGTTATATCATTAGGAAGTTATTCAGTTCTGTTTTTCGGTTCGATATTATATATCGGGTTTATAATAAATAAGCCCAATATTTTATAAATATGATATGATTCATAGTTCTTGAAACAATGAATTACTGAATATTACTGGAGTTCTGTCCCAACACCAAACCGTTATTTTTAACACCTCGACGGACACAACTTGCAACGAAGTTTGCCCTCACGCGACTGTCCGAGTGTCCGCGTTCGGGTCGCGTTCTCGGCGATGGCGCTTCATTGCTTAGACCGCCCCTCTACCCTCGCGCATTTTCCCCCGTTGACTTACAGTAGACGTAACGCGTAATGCCTTACTGCGTTGCATCAAGTTAATCTTATCGTGATAACTTTTAAACGATTCGTCCAAATTTCCTAGTGTAAGAGACAAAGTTTATCTATATTAAATACTTGAAACGACAATTGTATCAATTTTTATAAGAATTTGACAGGTATTCTAAAATGTGTTCAGTATTTTGCATATAGTGGTCACCACATCAGAAGTAGATATATGCTATCGCGGTATTTTATTTGAAACTATTTAAGATAAACAATCTTACGATACATTGTCTGCATGTAACTCCAAAGGTATAGGCAGCGCGCGCCAAGACAGCTCTCAGGGAGCAAGAATTTTTCTGACTTACTTAATAATTATCGTGATATTATGACAAAAATTACACAAAATTGTAGCCTACATGTTATTCTGGTGTATAGGCTGTATTTAGGTAAAGTTTCATCTAAATCTGTTCAGTCGTTCAGGCGTGAAAGAGCCACAAACATACATGTATCTGATTACTATTGTTACAATACTATATTGCATGTCATGCTACAGTTAAAGTTCTATTTCACATCGCAGCTCCTCTTTACTCGTAATTTCTAAACACATCAGGTGTACCATTTCCGTCTTTATGTTGAAAGCCTCTTGATAACTTCCACAATTCTGTCTGGAAGCGTAAACTATTACAGATCATCATTCGCACAGTAAGACAATATCGACAGCTTTTCACGAAGCCACTTAAACGTTATACAAATACCGGGGTAGAAGCACAGTATAGCAGGGCCTTTATAAGCTTTCTACTGTGGTAGGAGGCTGAAGGAAACCGTGAGAGTTTAGTTATGTGATGTCTTTGTGTGTACACACAATATGAATGCATGGCAGTAACATAATAGGTTTATTTACGGCGTCTCGATATCAACGCCAGCGTTCTCGAAATTTTCACTGGAGTCACAGGGTTATTTTAATACAGTGTGGATCAGTTAGGTTGGAAGCATCACTGTGAAATTTTAATTTTTTAATCGTTTTCAACCATTTTTTCAATGTCAAGTAATAAAAAGTCTGCTACTGGGCAAAATTTGAAATCTTTCAGGGCATTGGAATCAAGAGGCCCCCTACCAAGTCTAATCAACCCTCCCAGGTCTAATCGAAATTGATAAAAATATGTTTATCAATAATTATACAACTTAAAATTCTGAAAGTAATCAACAATCTCAAAAAAACACCCTGTACCAACAGACAGGAATGGAAATATTTTGAATTTGGCAATAAACTACCATATGAAGAAAATGTACAAAAGATCATAAAAATGTGTAATTCCATCACATTTAACATCACACGCAATTGAACAATAAAAAAGTTTCATTTAACAAATCCATTATTTTTGAAGAGATATTTTTTTTAAATACTTCGGCTTCCTACTTCTCCGCCAGTTTTCAAAAAAAAAAATATTCCCTGTTTCAATTAACACTATCTCTTCGAGAAAAGAGTAAATATGCTTCTTCCG